GTGGTTTATTTTGATAGGTTAACTGTTTTTGTGGTGTTAAGAGAAAGCACCTCCGCAGCGTGTTCTTAACATGAGAGAAAGACAGTCTTTTCTGCTTGCTGCAATAAATCGCTATTTTTCTGCACTAAACAAGTGAATTTTGCCAAGATATTTTCAGAGATTATAGACAAGATGTTATAGAATAATAATTGAATGAAACCCTAATTTTGACAAAAGATTGACATTCGACCTATTTTTCAAATTTCCTGAAAACGTCCCAGCGCGACATCCGACGGGTTTTCCCAGATCGCATCACATATGAAGAAAATGAACTCTTCTTTCTACTCCTCCTTTGTTTTGTAAAGCTACATTTGGCCTGTAACAGAACAGCAACAGGCTCAACATTTATTCAGACATTCGGTTTTATAGTGACAGTAAATCTGTGTGACAGATGAGAGATGGGCTGCAAAATAATTTTAACTAATACTTTCTCTAATCAGCATTTTGGGTCTTGTTTTTCAGTAGAAATGTCTAAAAATCATTAACGACAAGATAAATTTGGTGCAAAATTGTGTCACAAGACTAGTTTTCAGAATATATATTATTAAAATAATTTTTAATATTACATTTAATTGATTATAGATAACAGTTGATAATATTTAATTATATAATTTAGTTTCAGTTTTTATAATTTTTTTTCTTTTTTTTTGCAGTGTAATCTCTGGTGGAAGAAAACACACAAAAAAAACAAGCGTTTCCAAAAAACTTGAGTGCTGTTGTTCAAAGCTGGTGATTTTTTTTTCTATGCAGCTATGAATGGAGAAAATGTGAGAATTTCCCCTTTTATCCCCCTCCAAAGTGCCAGTGATTAGGGTCTATGGCCCTGTGACAGAATAAAAGGATTATAATAGGAGTCGGGTAACCTCATGCCCCTCAGACCACCAGTGGACCATCTGTTATTTTAACTCATGGGCCGCCTTTGGGCTGGAGTTGTACAGAGAAGTTTAACTTGGCCTAGTAGGATTACTTATACTTATTACTATATATACACACACACAGACACGGATTTCTTTGGTTGAACAAAAATACACCATGCACGACTATGCAAAATAATGCCTAATAATAGACAGACATGTGAAATTACAAGGATGCATAGCTAACTTTAATATTTCTTCTTTGTTAAGTTCTAGTACCTTGTGAACAGGCACACAGCCCAACCACTGTCATTAAATCATCCGTTTTATTTTCAGTGCCAGTGTTGATGCTACTGAAGCTTACAGTCTCTTGCTTTAATCTCCGTAGCTTAAAAAAGCACCATGGACTCTGCTTCACCTTGACACCCTAAGTATAGGATAGATCTAGGCCTACATCTGTGCACCCGATAATAACACAGACGCTCTAAAACCAGCACGCCTCACTCTAATACTCACTCTCTGCTTCACAGTAAATTAAGGTGTTTGAAGTGACAAATGATTAGCCACTACAGAAAGAACCATCTTCAAACACACAAGCAATGAGACACACAGAAAAGCAACAAAAAAGATCGGAAAAGTCAAAATTGAAAACATTCAGATCAGATTTTTGTGTTTTTAGGGTGAAACTGACCTTTTCTTTGTCACTTGCCTCTCTGGCAACAGTAGATCCCTACAGAGAAGAAAAATTAGAACATGTCAAACTATATCATAACCGTCATCTGGTTTGACTTGGCCAGTCATTTTTCATAATCCTTACCTTCAGGTCATATTTCTTATACACAGACAACCGGTGACTGAAAACGTTGCGTGTGACTATCATATAAGTTTCATCTCCATCTACAGTGAGGCGGTACATGCCTAGAAACTGTGGCAGCAGTGTGGTACCATGACATTCCACAATATACTGCAGTGAAAAAAAGACATTAAAAAGACATTATACCTGGCTCACAAGAAATGTGCATGTAAATGTACAAATTATTGGTAAAACATGGGGAATGTATGAGCTTGTTCGCACCTGGTGGTACTTTTTGAGGATGTTGTGCATCTCAGCCACGTCCTCGCTGCTTATGGTTTTGATGACGTACCTCTTGTCGTAGGAGGTGTGGAAGCGAGCACCACTACGGCCCTGAGCTTCACTGACGAGGGGCGCGCTGCGGGTCAAAGAGTTCTGCCAACATACATGGGAAAGAGGTCTTAGCACACATAATAAACGCACACAAAGATGGATGAGACTAAGTGATACTTTTTAACACTTTTATTTCATTCTGAAGTTGAAATTGCTGTTTTCTTTAATTATTTTCTTAACTTTGCAAATATGTACTCATTTTCTTTAAGCGCACCAATGTTTATAGCAATTGATTAATAGATTTAAAAAGCATCAATTTTCTCTCTTTTCCACCCAATCTGGCACTGTTACACATGCTAATGTAAAAGGCTGTTCTGAGCCAGAAAATCAGACCGCACCTGCCCCTTGAACCTGCTGGTTTCAATCCAACTAATGTCATTATCCAGGAAGCATGATAAATGTAGTTTTCAAAACAAAAGCAACTCAATTTGTCTAGTCCAATGCAACAAAACTAAATTCCTATCAATGAAACTATCAATACTGAAAGTGTTCAATGTGATTCTTTAATTCAGTTGATGGGCAACATTTGTTGTGTTGCAGAGCCGCTATATATTTTATCTGAAATAAAATTATTTTATTTACAAATATCATGCACTACTGTTTAAAGGTTTGAGGTCAGTAAGTTATTTTCATGTTTCTGAAAGAAGTAGCTAAAGCTCACCAAGGCTACATCTGTTTGATCAAAAATACAGAAAAAAAAAATAATATTGTGAAATATTACAATTTAAAATAACCGTTTTCTAATTTAATATATAAATTATTTCTGTGATGGTAAAACTGAATTTTCAGCGTCATTACTCCAGTCTTCATTTTCACATGATCTTTCAGATGACATTCTAATATGCTGATTTGGTGTTCAAGAAATAATTTATTATCAAGTTTAAAAACTGTTGTGCTGCTAAATAAAATAAATTGTTTGTAAAAAAAAAAAAAAAAAAAAGCAAAGCAAAAAAAATAAAAATAAATGCATGTTTATTTGTGGGCAGGTTAAGTAGTAACAATCAGTTATGTCATGGTTTGACTGTCAAGTCACTGTTAAAATGGATCTGAATCTGAAGTTCTAGTTCTGAAAGAGATTCACAGAACTCATGACTGAGGACTGGCACTTGTGCAAAAGGATATGCAAGTTTCTGATGATCTGGAGTGCAAATCACTACCGTAATTGCCCTGCCCACAAACGCATGACCACTGACATTTAGACACTGTGCAATTTCCAACCATTTTCTCTCACCGACTGAAGTGGTCTGCCCTTGTGTCTGTTCCAGTTATATATAAAACATTTTTTTTTTAAAAAGCTCATGGTGGACGCATGATGCACTTGAAAGGACCGGAGGGTCTCTGCTCCGTGAGGGTGAGTGAAGGACACAGCTGCACAGAACAGCTCGAACTACTCTACATACATTCCCAAGGTCTGCTACCTCAAACACATACACACCCACACATTTCCCTACCACCTCCCTCAGTCTGAGTATCAGAACCTTTTTCTACATCATTTTCTACATTAGCTTGGATTTCCTCACTATATTCATCAAGTATAACCATTAAACACAAAACCGAAAGCAGGATATGAAATTTCTAAAGGTTTCACAGGCTGGAGTCATGCGGGTTAGGGCTTGTAGCTGTTCAGCTGACGGCTTGTTCCACAGGGAAGTGTGTGCACAGATGGGCTGAAAATAGTGATGATGAGGCAGAGAATGCAGGGTGGACTGAGGAACCACAACTCTAGGAAGTCATAGCGGGATTACGCTAGATCTGTATTACAAAACAGCTTTGTTATTATGCAGGTAGACATTTGACTAGCGGCATAACGTCTGGTCCCAAGTACTGCCCACTTATGTTATGACCAACATGAAAAGCAGTCCTAAACTAGCATAATTATATAGTAGGGCAGGGGTTCTGAACCTTTTCTTTTTAATGGCTGTTATGGACTGTCCACAATCATATTCTAAGGCCCCACGACTCTTCCAGTATTAATTAACTAGGATCAAGGATAAGGATTTAAAAATTATTTTTTCTTTTAATTTTTCAGTTTCTATAAAATTATTAGGGGTGTCCCCGACTAAGGATTTTCATAGTCGAATCGGAATTTTCGAATCTTGCGATAGTCGACTGATAGATGAATAGTATGTTTTGGGGGCGGGGCAAAATTCATAGTTATTAATATTCTGCATTGTTGTTTGTCCTGCTCGCGCAGCGTGCTGAAGAGATAACCACGGTAGTACTACAATAAAGCGCTTTACTGCAGCGCAACTCAACCAAATGCATCTTATACGAGATAAATAATATATACACAATATATATAAACCGGCTGAAATGTTTTGAAATCACTTGTACCCTACCTGATCGAAAAAATCCAATCTTTCACTCTGCCTGTGTCAATTTGAGTCTTGTTAAAGTTTTAAATCCCTGCCGCCAAGATGCTCCTCTGTCAGTCACGGATTATGGAAAGTAAAACTTAAATCTATAGGAGTGATTGGATTTATTCATGCACGTTAAAATATTTATTTGAAGCTTCTTTCTTTTCAGATTCTTATTTACAGCATTATTTTAATAAGCTGTATATTAACTTATTAGGAGAAAACCTCAAAAGACATTTGAGCACCCCCATATAGCCAAAATGGCATGATCATAACACCCGCGAATATTCGACTGTGAGATTGGCAGTCGAATTAGGTTCCTCCTATCGAAGCATCGAATCTTCGACTATTCGGGGTCACCCCTAAAAATTATATAAAATATTTTAGAGCATGGCATAGCTAGAAAAATGCATAATAAAAATGCTCATGGATTTTATTCATTTACATGATTTTGACAATGTCAATAATTACACTTTTAAAATGATGCTACCTCATACAGTGCCGCCCACTAATATTGGCACTCTTGGTAAATATGAGCAAAGGTGACCGTCAAAATAATTCTGTATCATTTATCTTTTTGATCTTTTATTAAAAAAATTCACAAAATTGTAAACTTTCATTGAAGTAAAACAATTGAAAGTGGGGGGAAACTCACATTATGAAATAAATGTTTTTCTCCAATGCATGTTGGCTACCATTATTGGCACCCCTAGAAATTCTTATGAGTAAAATATCTCTGAAGTATATTCCTATTCATATTTTTTTTACACACCAGGGTGATTATAAACATGAAATTCTCCAGCCATGACTTCCTGTTCCACAGAATTATAAATATGAGGAACACAAAGGCCAAATTCCCTTAATCATCCATCACAAGGAGTAAAACCAAAGAATATAGTTCTGATGTACTGAACAAGATTGTTGAGCTTCACAAAATAGAAAGTGGCTGTAAGAAAACAGCTAAAGCATTGAAAATCCTCATTTCCACCATCAGGGCAATAATTAAGAGAGTTTGAGTGGCCAAAGACTAGGGCTGAACGATTAATTGCATTTGCGATAATATCACGATATGAAAAAAAACGCGTTTTTTCAATCGCAAAGGCTGCGATTACACTTGGTCATGTGACACGCGAGAGTAAAGAGGTGTGCTCGACTCGGATCGATCGGTGTATGACATCAAAGTACGGCGAGAGAAAGCACAAGGAGACGTCTGCTCTCTTATAGCTCTCGCAGTACTTTGATGACACACACCGATTGGTCTTTGTAGCGCTGCTTCAAGTCGAACA